CATAAAGAATAATTCATATTTGAAAAAAGAGAATTCAGTATAGCCGCATTGCACGATTTATGCCCTGGACGATTCCACTGTATCTCAACTGTTGCCTATTGCAGATAAATACAATGTTTCTATAGTGTTTGGGATTGGATTAAAAAATAAACACTTGCAAATGGGGAAGCGTTACCAAGGCAAAGCCAAAGTGATGAATAAGTCTTTTGGTTGCAGTCACCTCGGTGATTCTGAACATTCTGGTACTATCGTTGGTAAAAATTACTCGAAATACTTTCTCGCGATTCACGAGGTGTTGCGTCATCATCAAGGGCTTGACAATCAATGGGCTTGGTCCGTACTGGTTACCGGATGCGTGGACTTTAACACTAGCAACCTTGCATTGAAACCTGTTCAGAATGTATGTTAAAACCCGATTAGGTAATTACCCTTCTGTTCTGCCTTTGTAAGTGTCTCCGCACCCAAATTGAAATTGATAGATTGCGTTTCAGTTGGCGTATAGACGTGAGTTTTCTTGAAACGGGGGCTATACTCCTTGTAGGGGTTCAAAGAAAGGAAACAGAATTTGTGAAACTCATTTGGATGGAATCAGAAACATAAGTGGGGGTGGGGAGGACAATGAGAGACATTGAAAGAAAAGAGGTCTTAGAAGCATGGTATGAAATTTCATTGACATTACCCCTGGAGGAGATGTGCTCAAGACCGGAGATCAGTAACATATTAACTACACTACAGTCACGATCGATACTCGTTTTGTCATGGTGTGTAGTGCGTTAGAACATCGAGCAATGAAGGGTGGCGTAAACGGCCAAAACTGGATTAGTTTGATGGTTTTAGAGCATGCGAGGTGGATTGTGGGTCGACCCTTGGTTTTGGCGATCATTGTTCAGGATTTTTCACGAAACACTGTTTTCGAACCGGGTTGTAGATTCAGAAAAGATTCGGGTTAATTTGACCAAGAAGAAGGGAATACCCAACCTGATTCGCCATTTTTTTCACATAACGTTATTGAGAATGTAATTTCTCGTTATCAAGTCTCTCTGACTAGAACACTGACTGATAAATCATTCTTGTTTGCTTAAAAATAGACCATAGTGAATTCACCTTTGAGTGAATTGTGCAAAGCGTGATTTGGCTAATTAGAGTGAACTATTTAAAGTAAATTACTCCGGTGTACACTTTTTCCGGTCATCTGAATGAATAGTGGCCAGACTATCTGTAGTGACCTTGAGCATCAAGAAGGACAAAAATTGGTTTGCAACTACACTTTCAATGTATCTTCACCGTATACTGTTGTTTGTTCTTTCGGTCTAGGAACACCACCATGGGAGTGGATGGTAAATTGAATGAATTCATTGATCAACGTTTAGCTATGCTTTGCAGTCTGCAAACACGCAGTCGACCGTCTCATCCCATGCAGTCTATTTTATTTTTAAAAGAAGTAGGCGTCACTAACATGGACTGATCAGTTGGTCGTTTGATAGGGAAATACAGAGCTCCCAGAGCTCCAAATAGTTTGAACTTAGAATACGAGGATTGGTTCGCGGACTGAGTATGTGTGCGTGTGTGCGAGGACGGTGGGTGAAGAGCCAAAATAAATGCATATGGTTAATGTTCC